TAATGATACCTTGATCTTAACGAATGTTATTCAGGACATGATCCTGAACAACATTGAAGAAGTCGGATTAACCGTCGGTCGGACATCTTGGGTAGTGCTAATGCCGACTGTAACTTTCAAACTTTATAACTAGCAAAGTACTTAATGAAAATGAATTTAATTATAGTGTTTTGAAAAGCTCTCGAGATAAGCTGCAAGAATAAGTAATGAAAAAGGGGGGAGTCCATTTAAAAAATTCATGTTGATCTTGACAATGCTATCCTGGATTAAATAACTACTGTTGTTGAATGCGTTTTTTTAAGTCTTACAACTTTTGTAAAAAACATTTGTTTCTAAAATGCATCGTTTATGAGATATTTGGGTGTACTCAGACTTTTGGCTCACCTAGTATATACTAATAATCAGTTAAATTAAACTCAACTAATTGAAGACTCTTTTTATATTATATATATTTATATGGACACATGTTTGACCCAATTTTGATACATAACGCGATAGCTCTATACGCGATAAATTAAAATATCGTCATTAAATAATGCTCAAAATTTTTACACAAATATATAACTTAAGATTCAATTCGCACGGCCACCTACGCAAACAAAAAGGAAAGGCAAACATAAAGCAAAATTCAATATAAAAGAACAAGAAAAATAGCAAAGAGAAACGAAAAACCTTTACATATCCTACTTGTGCTCGAAGGTGGCAACAATTATCATGTGAAAATTCAATCTAAAAAATTATCTCAACCAAGTTCGCTGTGGTACAAAATGGTATAGTGATATATGCCATCAGATGTTCTTGTGTGAAAGCCTATAGAGTTTGTAAATGAATTTTCAGGTGTATCGCAACCACTCATACAATTAGAGCAATTCTCGTTGCCATGTGACCTCAATAATAAGTATGACGAGTACGTGATTCTTGCCGCTTACATGCAAATTAATGCGTACAAATAGGATTGCAAAAAAAGAACACTGATAAGAATGATGCAATTGTGTAGTTGTAGTATTATTAGACTATTGTGGATAAGATTTATTAATCAGCATTTTCAAAGATGCTTCATTCGAGATTAAAAATTGATGACAACAACAAAAAATTTTTAGAAGATTAATTCCTGTGGTTAGTAAATTAGTGGTTTGTCAATTAATGATAATAACTTGCTATATTGTTATTTTATGCAATATAAACGTTTCTTTATTTCACAAGTTTTGATATAATTGAATTCTGTATAAAAAGTTAATATTTGTGGTAAAATAGTAACAATAATTATAGAATGTATTTTGCTGTAACATTTATAAAAGTAACATTATAAGAAAATATCGTAAAAGAAAAATATTTATGTACACAAATTAATAATGTTCAAAAAACAAAATGTTTAAAAATATGTTTGCAAAAATTAAAATGCGAAAAGTTTAATAGAAGACAGACGCAGACATATCATAACTTTATTTGTTCATTTTGATTCCTTAGAATGGAATATTAAATGGATAATAACGGCTGGCTTTCAACCTGAAAATAAAAAATAAAAAGAAATGTTAATATATCACAAAACTTGATAAAAAAGTTTTATTTATTACATTCTATATCCTATTTATTAATATAAAATGTTTTTAAATAACAACAATAAACTAGTAATAAAGCCTTACCCCTCTACTGGACAAATTCTTCCGTTACAATCAAAGGTGTCAATATAAGCAATGTCTTCAGGTGAAAGTTTAAAGTCAAATACGTCCATGTTTTGAGTAATTCGTGACTTTGTAACTGACTTAGGAATCACTATATGGCCACGATCCACCTGCAAATAATTATTGAAGTTTTATATTAATGAGATTATAAATATATTGTAAACTTTTAACTATAACTTAAAAGTACTAAATTATATCCAATACTTTTTTTATTAGATGAATTTAATAATTCATTGTAAAATAAGAGACATTGACGTTGTAATAACATACCTGATAACGAATAAGTATTTGTGCAGGAGTCTTATTATATTTTTTTCCGAGATCAATTAATTTCTTGTCTTCTAACAATTTTGGATCATCAGGCTTGGCCCATGGTCTATCTGGTGATCCGAGTGGACTATAAGCTGTAATAAGAATGTCTCTTTCCTTGCAGAAGTCTGATAGCTTTTTTTGCGTCAAGTATGGATGGCATTCAACCTAAAAAATAATACAAAAATAGAGAGAAAAATGTTTAGAGATGTCAATGGAGGTGCCTATTTTTTTTATTTTTCTTTGTATATAATCTCTATGTAACATGTATAAATCAAAAAGTACTGATAGCTATAAAAGAGAAGGATTTCTTTGTATTGTAACATTTTTTACTTTCCAAAATAATATTCTATTTTGAAAAATAATTTCTATTAATATAATTAAATTGAATTTAATATAAACTAATTATCGTCAGAAAATTTTTTACAATCATTCTTGATAATCTTGACTTACCTGATTTGTAACAGGTTTAACCGTTGCATTTTTTAGCAATCTGGTAATCTGTTCAGAATTAAAATTACTGACGCCGATGTTTTTCGCCAGACCTTTGGCCAGCACACCTTCCATAGCTTTCCAAGTATCGAGATAATCTACGTCGCTCAACTGAATACTACCGTCAGCACTTGTAGGAAAAAGATCTCCACCCTCTTTAAATCCATGTGGCCAATGAACTAAATACAAATCTACGTAATCAAGACCAAGGTCAGCTAGCGTTTTTTTAATGGCTGGTTCAACTAGTTCGGGACTATGAAAGGTATTCCACAGCTTGCTGGTGATAAATAGATCTTCTCTCTTCACGACACCTTCAGCTATTTTTGCCTTGACAGCAGCACCAACTTCCTTCTCATTACCATAAACGTGAGCTCCATCGATGTGTCTGTAGCCGATATCGATCGCATCTTTTACAGCTTGTATAACTTCTCCTGGTTTAGACTGAAACAAAATCAAATTTCAATTTAAATCTCTGACCATTTTAAGTCGACTTACTTTTTTAAGAAAGGCGCAGAATAATCTAATTGCAAGATATTTAATATTATCTTTATATATAGTTTGAAAAATAATGATAAATCTTTCGTATAGAGGTAGAATAGATAAAATTGAAAAGAAAAGTCCTGTACCATTTTGCAATTTTCGCAATAATTAACAAAATATTAATTGCTAAATATTGTCGAAAATTGCAAAGTAATAAAGGACTTTTCTTCTCAGTTTAGTCCATTATTTTCCTATATATAACGTTTTTAAAGAACATAATTTTGAAAATTATTTCTTAAATTTCATAAATTATTTAATTTTTCAAAAATTATATTATTTTGATAATTTTAGACAACATTGGAATACATTGGACAACATAGGAATACATTATGAAATGAAGGTTTCTCAGTAATTAACTTAGAATATGCTGCGTGATCAATAGCAACATTGAATAGTTGGTTACATAACATATTTGCACTTAAACTGATAAATATGTACTTAATATAATAGTGATGATAATACAAAGTATAGTGCAAAAACATTAGTTATAAAACATCAGTTAAGTTACAACAATTTTTCTCTAAAAAAAGAATTTTGAAAGAAAAGACTTTGTATACTGAGACAGAATTATAAAAAAAAAAGATAAAAAAAAAATAATTGATAAAGAGATAAAGTGTGATCAAATAAAATGAAATATGTGTTACATGCACAAAAATGTTTATTCTAAATCGTTATCTTTTGAATACATTTTTTTTATCTTATCAAAATCGAATTCGATTGAACGCACTCAATGCGCACTGATGCATATTAAAGCCATACACAAAATAACGTAAAGATATGTTTAAAAGAAAGACTATTATGAGATATAGAGTTCATTATGGATAAATACTCGAAGTCTATAAGCAGAATTTTAAAAAATAATAGGTCATTTTGAAGCGAATTTAATAAGCTTTAAAATAACGTTACATAAAATTTAATTCAAATTCCATTTTTTTTTAAATTAAAAAAATGTAAAAAGTGAGCAAATCGTAAAGTCAAAAAATTATGCTCCTAATATGAAATGACCCGAGAAATCGATAGTAAAACGCAAAGTATCAGTATTATAATTAAAAAACTTTATTTAATGTTTATAAAATACAAACAGCCAGTGTGCGCGAAAAATAAGCATGAGATAGATTATACCCAAAACTCGTTTTCAGGCAGTTGGAATCAAGCATCGCAGATATAGGCACTCGACGTCCATTACGGTTGTTTTTTTTATTATTAATAACATTTATACTTTAGCAACGATTTTTACTATAACATAGGAGCGTGGGTAATTTCATATTAGAAATACCCTAGATATCTCATATTACAATTTCCACGTCTTATGGTTTTACGATCATCAAATCTAACTTATGTAATTAAACAATTCAACATATCCCATATTTTTCTATTAATACGACCTTGCTCTATCACTACATGAAGAATTTATTGCCAAATATTTATTTTTTATTAAATAATTAATAAAGTTTAAACGCTCATCTTAATGAAACTTGAAGACATCTAAATTCTAAAATCTTGTTTTACAATACTACAGGTGTGATTTAATAATAAATTTTCTATTAAATAGTTTTCATCCATGAGCAATAAATTCATGATAGAATCAATAGATAGCGTGTATCAGTTTAGCAGAAACGCCGCTATCTCATATTAGGCGTCTATCTCATGATAGGGGGCTTTCCTCTATAAACATAAAAATCGATTAAATTGTAAAATACTCAATACGTTTTATTGTACTATTAGATAAAATATGTATTTCATAATATTTCGAAATATTTGCATTTCATTTTTATACTCAAATTAAATCAGTGTACAACGGCTTTAATATGCACCAGTGCGCAGTAATGCTTCCAATCGAATTCGCCATTAATGAAGTAGGCTCAGTTTTTACTTTTTAGAATTTTTGTTATACTATACTATATATAGCACTACTTATATAATTGTTTAAGATTGCGTTTCTGTTATCTTAGCCATATACTTCACAGCCAGTCAGATTTAACAACAAAATGTAATGGCAATGGAAAATTCTAGAATTTTAAGATAAGATTATTGCTTTATCATTATTAAAAGCTCAATATCGAAATATGATTTTAACATTTTACATTTTCAAATTAGAAAAAATTACCAGTAATAAAGATACAAGTATTAATGATTTCATTTCATTGCGTAATATCTTGCTTTATCATTTTAATTTATGGAATTCACATTGTCAACTTATGAAACCTATAAATTTACAAATCAATAAAATCATTTTTATATAGATTAGATATTGAATCAATGTCTCTCTAATCTAATCAATTAGATTAGATTTTTAAAATTTAGATTTTTTGTAAAAAAAGTCATTACAATTTAATTGAAACTTTGAAATATATTGCTGTCATTATTATATAATATGTACCAAAGTCTTTTAAATTTTAATAACTTTTTTTAACAATAAATAAACAGATTTCTAAAGAGCTCTCTATAATAAAAATTAACAAAGTATAGAAATATATGGTATATGTGAGCCGCAGAAATTATTGCGTAAAACAAAAATATATTTTCAATTGTACATAAAGTAATTATAACGTTATATCTTGTATAGTAATAACTAATATGCATTTAACATGTTTCGTGATTGCTACGTGATTGAATCCTCTTCAAAAATAAATACATACATTATAATACAGTATAATTGAGCGAGATTTCATCTTCCTGAAAGAAAAAAACCTTAGTGGTAAGCTATTCCCAGAATGATGAGAGTTGCTCATATGGCGGTTCGAAGACCATATGGAGAATTCTGGGTGTACAATTATGAACAAAAAATAAAAAACTGTATCATTTAAGTGTGAAATTTAGTTTTGTCAATATTAAAACAGCTGTATAAGAATTTATTCCGTCCTTAATATGAGTGTAACAACGATAAGCTACAGTCACCGACTGACCGATTATAGATATTAAGCCTGTTCTTTTTGCTTTTAAGCTGAATTTTGCACCAGTTTATCTTTCTTCCTTTTTTTCTCCAAAAGGAAAAAAAAAAGATGAAAAGTTGACTGATGCAAAAGTTCAACCAAAAAAAAACAGGCCTATTGACTCGATATCTAATCTGTATCATTTTATCGATTTGTACACTTCGGTTTCACAAGTTTACGATATGAGTTTGATTAATTTGTGGAATTTATAGTAGTAGCTAAATGATAAAGCAAGATTGCTCAACGAAATGCAACATGTACCAAAACCTTGACTATAAGACTGCACTTCGTTATTTACTGCAAATATTGAAAATTTTTAGTTCATGCGTTAAGTATTCGCAGTATAAATATAATAATATAACGCAACTTAAATTATTTTAATAATTTTTTTTTACAGAAAATCTGATCTCGGAATTGATCTTAATGTGAGCATATATTTTTCGTTTATAAAAATTTTGACATGAATAAAATATATCTCGTTATTTGTTATTAACTACACTGTGAATTTAGACCGCGGCCTACACAATAGGTGTCCTACTTGTTCATCCTGTAAGTTAAATAAAAACATCTATAATATCGTAGATCGCGGAATAAGTACATATAATCACGGTATAAACATAACCAGTGACTATTAATAAGCTACATCGTGATAGAAGTCACCCAGTCAGTCAAGTCTGTTAAAAATCAATTTTCCAAAACAAATGTCGATGAAAAAGCACCTTTGACGCAAATTCTATTTATGCATTTGAAATCAGCAAACTAATGGCAGATATATAAAATCTACTGAGAACAAATTGTCGACGAAACCTACGCAAAACTTGTTAACAACTTTTCCAAATTGACGATTGCTCTCATATTACGTCAACGAACTCTGTCAGTTAAACAAAAAGCTTAATGCGGATATTGATGCTAATTTGCTGAAATTTTTTATTGATTTTATTAACAATATTTGTAGGAAAATTGCCAACATCTTGCTAACTGGATTGCTGATCCAGCTAATTTAATCTAATCATCTGCCGTTATCTCGTTTGACGAAAACAAGAATTTAACTCAATAATTTTTGCCGATACAAAAGCTACATCATTCAGATAAGAAACAAATTATCATTTAAGTAGGGAAAATATAAAATAATATATATACATTATATTTCCGCGAAATATGATTCGATGAAATTATCGAGACTGAATGGATCGACTAAGTACGAAAAAAAGAACTTACCTTCCATGTGCCTAAGCCGAAGATCGGCACTTCATAGCCGTTATAAAATTTCACTTTTGGTGCAGTCAGAACCATTTTACTTTTATGTCAGCAGCAATCGTTATATAAAAATATGAAAATCTACGGATGTTGCTACGTGGAAACTGCCAGCGAATCCAAATGAGACGCACAATATACTGCTGGCGGCTTCGCCTCGAACAGTTCCTTTTATAAACGTCCCCACCTAAGAGGATCCGGTCACCGGATTCGTAACGGCAAAATCGATTTTGCTACGCCTAGGGATGTGCGTCTGTGTTGGTGTGCCGGCGTCGGAGAATGGAGATTTGATAGCCAACGCATCGCATCGCATTGCTCGAAAGTTTTTCATAATCTATATTCAGCTCGTTGAATATTCATCATTTGCGTACTCAAACTTTGGCTGCGTTCAGCAGAACACAACAGTTTTGCAACCGTTTTATGATTATCTGCTGAGATAGGACCATTCCTCTTTTGATCTAAAAGCATAACCCAATCAGCGCGAAGAAAACTTCCAACAGTTGCAAAATAAACGTTCCGCTGTATGCAGCCTTTAGTTATATTATTAAAGCAGTTATTAATTTTTAACGCAATTATTAATCTTATTCTTAAGATAATTCTTATTTTTATAGCTTTTTGATCCCAATTAATGATGTATCAGTACGTTGATTGTTAGATATGCATTTGTTTGTTTAAAAAAATAAAAATAAAATCTTTTAAAAAATGTCTATTCAGGTGGGAATATGTCTCGTGATTTTTGCATAACGACGATATTGTTGCTGATGCACATTGACACTCACACAACATACTAACAGTCACCAGTACTAATACTGATTCAAATGACTGCGTAGTGGTGACTGAATTCGCCTATCCGGCACCGTGGAAAGTTACAGCGATCGTTTAGAATATTTGGAGCAATGAATCGAGCCCTTGATTCCTTGCGGAAGAACAAAGTTTCATTCACAATAATTCAGCATTTAATAAAGTCGTCGTAAATTAAGTAAAGGTTAATTAATATAATTCTTTATTAATTAATATAACTCTACGTAAATAATCTTGAATACTTATGTACTTATATTAAAACATTGAGATTTTTATCATTTATTTTATAATGCATTTCCATATATTTTTATTACAGCATAGATTTAAAAAAATACTGTTATTTATTAAAATAACTTACGATCCAGGTAATAAATCGTTATCAAATTTGTCGTATTATTTTTAAACATAATTTAGAATAATCTGTAATTTTTTCATAATTTTTAAAACATGTACAAAACATCCTTAAAATGAAACTTTTTATTTGTTTTAATAGAAAGTTTTGTTTTAGAGGTTTCAAAAATAAAATGATATACTTCTCTTCTTCCTCTCCTAGTCTTTTGAATTTTGCGTATCAAGATAATATAAAAATTGCTGGGAAATTCCCAGCGATCTTATAATTAAAATATTTTAATTATTTTTTTTTGTAGACAAGTATTGTACACCGATATACGCAAATATTAAAGCAACCTTAGGTTAAAATATTGGAATTTAAAAAAACGGCTGCCAAACAAAAATCATGTTTTTATTTTTAACTTTTTGAGCACTATCTTTCTAAAAAACAAAGAATTAAATGATAAATATAAACAAATTGTAATTCACAAACTGCAAAAAAAGTGTTAATAATAATTGTGCAAAGTTAATCAGTCAAGCTGTTTTTCGGGATGCGAGAGTTCCCTGCAATTTTGTAAAAATGATTTTGAAAAAAACAACTTTAATATGAAATAGTTTAGTATTACGTATGTGAAGCATTTTGTAATAACTAAAATTTGTTTATTTTGTCTTCTCTAATTTATCCCAAGAATCCTAACATAATAACAAATTAGAAACCAGATCAGAAACAGTCTCTTAAAATAACCATAATGTACAGTTGGCTGTCAGCTTCTCTTCCTGCTTGATTTTCTGTGCAATATTTCAGAAAATGTCTATTATTTCGAACTTTTTTTTTTCGAAACCGCTTTGAGAATTTTTATGCTACACATATGTAGAATTAAAACAAATGCAATTTAAAAGATATTTATTTATTTTACCTTCTCAATGAGAAAGATTCTTTATAATTTTTTTACTTATTCCAAATTCTTTATTTTTTAGATTTATAAAATAGCAAAATGCCTGATAAAGGTTTTCATAAAAGAAAAACATGTAATGAATATATATGATAAAGCTACATATTAACTTCAAGGATATTGCTTTACATAATGACTGTATATTAGTTGTCTTTAATATATCGGTCAAAATATTCTTAGAATGTTTTAAAATATCTCTAATACCTTCCTTTTACTTGTTGATAGAAATTAATTGGAAAATTTTCGAGTACATAAACAATGCGATTCATAATAAAATGTTATAATAATAGATTATACTGCGTAAAAATGGTAATTATTTTGTAAAGCATGACGATTGGTATAATTGAAATAAGATTATAAGGCACTGGATTTTTCTGTCAGAAGTTCTGCAATTCTATCTCGATTTATCAATTGCTGCACGTAAGATTTTTGAGTATAGATTAAAACGTATTTCATAATATTTTGGATATATCACGTGTTGTACGGAACGAAAAAATGTACTCGTGCATGCGATCCAGACCTTGAAATTTTTTGCAGCGTTCAATATTTGTAATTGGCTAGACCAAGAGTCGAGCGAGTTTCAAACATCGTCGTGAGAACATGCGCTTTCGAGTGCGCTTTTAAAGGGGATACTAATATATGATTTTCAACGTTATAACTCGTTTCCTATTGTCTTCTAGATATTCAATAAATTATTCATGTTACATTAAAAACCGTCATGCTAAATCGTATAATGTTTAATTAATATATTTCTTAATCATTGTTTTATTTGTTGTATGAGTTATCAAAGGAAGAAATAACTATTATAGCGTTTGAAAATATTTAGAGTTATATTTCAGGCAAAAAGTACAGCTTTAAATAAGAAAATATTTTAAAATATGTATTGTATATGCATGTATATATTTTTCGAGGTTTTTCATTTTTTCATGTATATTGTAAATGTAAACTATATATATAGAGAAAAAAATGAAATTATATTATATATATATATTATATACATAAAATATAATTTCATTTCTCTCTCTCTCTCTCTCTCTCTCTCTCTCTCTCTCTCTCTTCTCTCTTTCCTCTTTTTCTTCTTTCACTTTTTCTTCTTTCTCTTTTTCTTTTCTCTCTTTATACTGATTTAAAACGGAATGTTAAAAGGAAAGTATTTAAAATTCTTCGCACTAAAACATAGAAACAAAATAATTATTTAGAAAAAATATACGTCATTCGAATATTTATCTAATATCTATTGTTCTTCAAAGTCCATTTTAAATCATCTATAATTTGCAATATTTTCTTTGCTTACACAACATGTAAAATTATATGTAGAATTCTGTTCGGAATTTAAATACGACTTACAGTTCATTTAAAATTAAAATTTAACATACATTATCCAAGAAACAAAGTTATTTTAAAAAATGTTTAAAGATCTCGAAGTTCTAAAATATTCATATATGGAAGAAGATATGATAAAATATAAAATACCTTACATATTCTAAGTCATTGGTTTACTTACGGTGCGAAAAATGCTACTCTCTGTCCAGTGCCGAGTTCACGAATAGCATCCATTTCATCGGATGTTAACGTGATATCAAAAAATTCCATGTTTTCCTTAATTCGACTTTTAGTTACAGACTTAGGTATTGGCGCAGTTCCTTGTTGATACTATAAAAATAAAATATGACTGTATACATCTGTTTTAATTACATAAAAGAAACAATTCTATCAATCTTAAATTTTTTCTTACCACATATCGAAGTGCTATTTGCGCTGACGTCTTATTATATTTTTTTGCAAGTTGCAATATTATAGGATTATTTAATTTATTGTCGATGCCCGATACATTTCCGGGTTGTCCCAGAGGAGAATAAGCAGTTACCGTTATGTCATGTTTCTTGCAAAAATCTATTAATTTCTCCTGATTTACATTTACATTAACTTCAATCTATAATAAAATATTTTTTTAATTAGTAAGTCTTGCAGCATTAATATGATATAAATTACATTAATATAAAACCTTTCAGCTTTTTAAAAATGTTTTGCAAATATACATAAAAAAAAAATATTTATTAAAAAGATATAAATTAATTCGATCAAAAATGCAAATCTAACAGAGAAAATGCAATAATTATGAAACAAATACAATTAAATTTATGAAACGATTTAGATGATATCACATACCTGATTATTAACTGGGGCGATTTTAGCCGATTTGAGTAAACGGGTAATTTGCTCGGAGTTAAAGTTACTGATTCCGATGCTGCGAGTTAAGTCTTGGTGAACACACTCTTCCATTCCTCTCCATGTTTCTAAATAATCAATTTCCGATTCGCAAAGATTTCCAGCAGCATCTACAGGCCATGAATCATCCCCTTCCTACAAGAAACCTCTAAATAAATACGAGTTGAAACATTCATTCATAAAACATTTATGACTGTTTTTCGTAAATAAGAATTCACCATTATTAGTTACTCACAATACTAATACAAAAAAATAAATGACTATAAATATCATTTATATAATTGCATACTCTCCACTTTATATAGATTAACAGAATTACTGATGCATTTTTTTAACTTGAATTTTACAACAAAATCTTAATTATTAAGTAATGCTATATAATTATACATATATATATATATATATATATATAATATATATATCTGAAAATCAATTCATTATCGTGTAACTCCGAATATGCTTATGATAAAAAAAAAACAAAATCTTCCTTCTCTATTTCATCCTATTTCATTTCGTTGATGTCAATGCTTACCTTGAAAGCAAATGGCCAGTGAACTAAAAAGAGATCCACATAATCTAAACCAAGATTGGCCAACGATCGTTTGCAGGCCGGGACGACATGTTCTTCTTTATGGAAATTGTTCCACAACTGCAACAAAATAAATACTTAAAATAATTAAATTTACACAAAATATTTAATTTAAATTTTGATACTTATTGCGTCTCTTACAAAAAATGAATTATTTGGAATTTAGCAGATGCCAAAATAAATATACGTATTTTGCTCATGCTTACGCTCTCACCTTTGTGGTAATAAATAGATCTTCTCTGGTCACGCTACCATCTTTGATTTTGTCGCGAATAGCTTCCCCAATCTCTTTCTCATTACCATAAAGGAAAGCTGTATCAATATGACGATACCCTAGATCTATTGCGTCCTTAACAGCTCTTTTCACATCCCCCATCTGAGACTATTTATTTCCCAAAAATAAAGAAGAAAAAAATACAAATTATCTTGGGTAAGATTGACCGTATCAAAAATTTCAAAACTAATAAGCGAAACACTGGCCGGGACATTTCGCTTAAAATCCCAGACGTATATAAAAATGCATGTCTATTAATAAAATTAATCAAAACAATAAACAAATAATTATTTTACATTTGGTCGTCCATTAGTGGTACTAATTTAATGTAAGAAATTGACCAATTGTATTAGTCGATTATTTTCCTCACATTCAACTACGATTGGTCAGTTTCTTATTACAGCTTAAAGATTACTATTGAAAATCAGAAGTAATACAGAATAACGCGAGAAAGGAGTCAAAGTAAAAAATTTAGAAGATTCCCTGACGATTAGATACTTTTATGTTAACTGATTTATATTGCGATCTTTTATATATATTTTTAATCCATCTATTGGAAAACAGAATTAATTCTTTACCAACTTTTTAATTTAAATGACCTTAAAAATCTTTATTAATATGTTTACGAATTTAACAATGTTTTGTATATTAACCGATTTATAATATTGCAATCTTTTTTATTTTTAATCAGTTAAATTGTTGTTTATTTTACACTGAGGATGACCTGATAAAGAAACGTATGTAATTTTGTATTTTAAATGAAATAATGTTAAATATTAAAATTTAATTATTAGCACTCAACAACCTGTTTTAACTCATAGCTTTTATTTCTTAGATAAAATTTAGAAATAATCTAAAACCCGAGAGAGAGAGAGAAAGAGAGAGAGAGAGAGAGAGAGAGAGAGAGAGAGAGAGAGAGAGACGTAATTATCTCGGAAGCTTTTGGAAAATCTTCCCCGCACGTCCCTGAACGTCTTAAAAAAGAGAATTGTGCGCGGGAGAGGGATCGCAATTCTAAATTTGAGTGAAATAGATTTACCAAAATAAACAAAAATAAAATTCCAAGTAAGAATATTAAATAAAAATTGTATTATAAAATAAATAGGATTAGTGATCATTATGGAATAATATACGATAAGAATAATTGCCCGATTTTCATTTTGACGTGGATGCTGCGATACGTTTGAAATTCAAATAAAATGCGCGTAAAATAATATCTCACAATGATGTAATTCGTACACATTATGGTCCATATTCAGAATGCGCTTTTATCTCTGAAATTCTGCAGTACGCGTAACGTAAATTTATAGCATGTTAGCGCGTTCTGAATACGGGCCTATATATGTCTACTTCTCTTGTTATATAATAGGTACGTACCTTATAAGTTCCGAGGCCCAACACCGGCATTTTGTATCCATTCGAAAATGTAATTGTCGGAATGCCAGCCATTGTTATCACCGACTGCAGGTTATAGATAGGTGATGCAGCAGCAGGAAGTGTGTGCAAGGCCGTCAAAGTAACAGCGCAACTGAGTTCTTGGTTATTATGAAACACTTTAGACAAGTATGTCGTTTAAACACAACTCACAGTATCGATAGGCACACATGCAATACTGCGTATTGGTGGGGCGAGAATTATTATCTGGAAATAAAACACTAACAATTAAAAAACTAATTTTCTACTATATATATATCTCTCGAATGTCACTTCACGAGCACCCAGGCTCACCAGTAAAATCGTTGAATTAAAATAACGTACGCATACATGTAACATAAAAACACAGCATCACGATTGCGCCTTGATGTGATGTGGAGTGTGTGCCTGACAACTGCGTTAGAAAACCCTACCCAAATACATATCTTCGAGTAATCCGAGTATAATTTTATCCTTGTTTAAGATACGGTGCAACAAAGATAAAATGATATTTGGATCGGCACTTGCGCACTATTATCACAACGCAGCTGTCAGGCGCGCATACGCACACACACCCAACCACACATCTAGAGATGTATAGTAACAGCTTTGTGTAATAGGAGGGAGAAAAGAAAGGAATAGAGAGAAAGAACCGGTCTCACCAACTCCGATTAACCTCCCAGCACACGAAAATGGATTGAAATGAACTGAAATGGATTCAGATTTAGAAATATTGATTCACACAAATGTCAAATGCTTTTCAATCCTGAATGCATTTTTGTTCATTTATAGGAATTGCATGGAGCATATCTCTATGTCTGTCAATATAAAAATAATATTAGCTTTTTCTGTACATTGTGAATACTTCAATTCAAAATTTTTAATAGGAAATGCAGTTTTTCAATCCAATTGCATCCAATTGAATCTAATTGAATACAATTGAATCCGATTAAATCCAAAAAAAGATATTCTTTATTTAAAATACGCATTCGGATAGAAAAAAAATTTCAAACCATTTTAAACCATTCTCGTTTACTGGGCTAATCGGTCGGTTGTTACATTGGACTGATCAATATTTGCCGTTTAGCAGAATTGACCAATCACGATTGACACTTAATCGACCGATTAAGTTAATCGGAGTTGATAAGACTAGCTCAAAAAGAGAGAAACAGAAAGGCAGAAACTATTATTTTTAGCTGAATTTTGCACCATTTCATCTTTCTTCCTTTTCTCTTCGAGAAGAAAGAAGAAAAAAATGAACTAATATAAAAGTCTAGCCAAAAAGAATAGCCTAAAGAGATATGAACTATTTGATGAAAAAATCGTTGAAATTATTAATTACACATTATATGTATATGTTTTAAACATTATATTGAATAGACAGCCGCGAATTTTGTTCAAATTTAAAGATAAGAAACACATTATATCACATTTTTTTAATTAGATAATATTTAAATATATAATTTAATAATTTTTTTAATTATTAATTATTAGAATGTAATATATATATATATATAAAGATATGATGTGGTATGATATTTAATGCACCATCCTGTATAAATAAGTTGATAAAAAAATATATTACAGT